ATATATATATATATATATATATATCAAAGCCTATAAATCTCAAAATTGTAGGAGAAACGTTCACGTCTTGAATTTCATTTTTTAAAAGTTAGCATGCAACACTTTAATTACTATGTAGCTAGGAAGTGTAGCCGAAGCCCCTTGTAGTTTTAGGCCCTTCTCAAAACCCTGCGCAGAGCTATAGCTATCATGGAATATAGGAGTATGCTTGTAGATTCACCTGAGGAGCTGCTATGCTAGCCCATTATAAGCTTTTCATCATGTGGAAGTTTCATACAATCATGCTATTCACAACTACGACATTTTCATTGGCAATAATATATTACAAACTTTATAGTTAACATTATGGGAACGAAGCTCGAGGTATTGTCTTCATGTGACAAAGGCCACCATCTTTAATCGGACACACACACATATATATATATATATATATATATTTGTATATGTGTGTGTGTATATATAGCACACAAAAGAATGAGACAAAAACAAGGATTTTACATATTATTCTGCTTGTCATTATAATTAACTGGGTTAATATAAGTTGTATAAAATTTCTGTTCACAGCTAATACTTTTTTCTCAGAGAAAGCACTTTGCGTTTTTATATATGTGATATGATTTTGTTTAGTAATGCTACACACACACACACACACACACATATATATATATATATATGTATATGTGCGTGTGTGTGTATATAGCACACAAAAGAATGAGACAAAAACAAGGATTTTACATATTATTCAGCCTGTCATTATAATTAACTGGGTTAATATAAGTTGTATAAAATTTCTGTTCACAGGTAATTCTCTTTTCTCAGAGAAAGCACTCTGCGTTTTTATATATGTGATATGATTTTGTTTAGTAATGCTATATATATATATATATATATCACTATCAGTGTTCAAGCCTTGTGTAGAATTGGCAAATAATTTAAGTGTGAGTTCTTTCAAACAGATAACATTTTTGGTATTGTAAAGCATTAAGTTAGTACATAATAATTTCATTTGTATTACAACATTATGGCGAAATGAGCAATTTAAGTACATGGTTGCAATAGGAATAGACACAATTTCCCTATGATTAATTTACGTTAATTATTAATATTAAAGATCCTTGAGTAAATACATGAAGCCGTTCAATTACATAAAATACGAACTTATTGTAAGCATCCCTCAAATGACAATTTGGAGTATAGCGTCATAATAAGAGTGGAAATTATTAAAACAAACCAGTTCAACATTTTCCAACGCCAAGGATTAATCTTCATGCTAAAAGAAAGACATTGTACTAATTTTTAAAATTGACTATGATCATGTGATATATATTCCATACCACAGTTGGGTAAGAACATGGTTTTTCTCCTATTATTATAAATGTCATTTCTATTATATATAGGAGGTCTCTACAGTAAGACTTAAAAAAATAAATATGATAGATCTCTATTTTTCAATTGTTAGCTAGATTTGTATTAAAAAATGTATATTTATCTAAATTTAATAGTCACGGTGAGAGACGTGCACTACCAGTAGAAAGTCTTACGGTAGAAACTTACATATTAACATACGCATTTCTATAGGTAGGTATCGTACTATATTTTAAAGCAGTACTCGTACGTGATTGAACTAAGACAAACACATGTTTTGTACTAATTATTAAGAACAAAAAGGTAATATTCTTTGGTTAATTTTTTGTCTTTACTGCACTAATAAGGATGGTTGTGAAGTATTGGCTAGTTTAATTAGTACCAGAACTAGCTAGGAACTCATCATCGTGAGTGCTTTGCTTTTGTGTTCCTCTTTCCCAGCTTAGTGAGGGTATATTATACCAATAAGGGAACCACTATATATACAAAACTGCGCATGCTATAGCATATACCTTAATTAGATGGACTGACAAACTGCTTGTGCGACAATATAATATATCATGTATCTACCTGCTGTCACTATGGAGGAAAGTAGAGTGCATCTTTAGCATACTTATATATATGTATATATATATATATAATATTGAAATATAGTGTGTTAGTTAGTAATCTTAGAGGATATCATCTCCAAGTGTCTTTATTATCGAGATGATAATACAAAATATGATCGGATTCAAACTCTTGGGTCCTTGTTTCTTTTTATGTCTTTTTAATAGTATCATATCACGTCAATTAAAATATTATTAAATATCACTTAACATGTAATGTCATTTAAATATTTTAGATGACGTATTATGATATACATTATTGAAAGAACATGAAAGGAGACACAAACAAAGAGACATGTGAGTTGAATCTAATATGATTAACCTTAATGTGAAATTGTTTTAACCAATAAGAATAAGTGTTTTGAAATTTTGAAATTCAATTACAAGAACTTTTTAATATTTTTTAAATGATTATGGAAATTCCATCCAACTGAAATAAATATTGCAATTGTAAATCTTGTAAAAGATACCAAAATCCCAAGTTTTTCTTAAGCGCTTGCTTAGGAAATTAGAGATTGATGTCTTATAGGTAGAGGAAGGTATATTAGCTATCTTCAGATATTGACCAAGCTTTTCAAAATTGAAATAGAACCTTTTCTTTTACTAGTAGCTTTCACTTTTCTTTTTCCTTTTCTAATTTTCTCTCTACGTTTACAATTATTTTTTCTTATATATATATATATATTTAACTTTTTGCTATATATCTTTTCTTTTTCTTTTGTCTTGAAGAAGAATCATTTTAATTTCTAAAACATACACAGCCATGTTATGAAGCTACATCCCAAATATGGTACTGCCATCTATAGATTCTATACATACATACATTCATATATATATATATATATATATATACACACACACTTAATGACTTAATCAAGAAAAGGAAATTAGGAAATTAAAATCTGATATAGAATATAAAAGTGGAGAAGAGTGCTATGGATTAATGGAGTAAGATGAAAATTACCTCATAATAATAATAAGCCCCCACTCGTATTTTTATATATATTTCAGACGTATAGATCACTTATTTAATTATTTCTCAGATTATACATTTACTTTCAAATTCGATCCTTCAAGAACATCTTTTAATTTTAAAATTGATTAATTATGTAAGGAAATGGATTTCTTTCACGATTACAAAGTTAGAATGTCTTTATTGTCTAAAGATAGATGCTTGTCTTTGTTTCTACTTGATCTTCCTTTTAGGCCTTTTATCATCTTGGCAAGTTCTTTTCAAAGATATTGAGGAAGTTCGATTTAAATTAAAAATGAACGAATCAACGAAAAAGCAAAAATCCACATATCCAGTTCATAAAAGTGCTGAGCTAGCTAGCTTCTGAAAAATTCTCATTGAAGATTTTTCAACTCTCTCTTTCTTTTTTTTCTTTTTTTTTTTTTCCTTTTCCCTTTTATTTTTAGAAAAGAAGAGTTCCACTTCCTTTGCATAACTCTTACGTTTTGAATCCTACTTTCCTCTTGTTATGAGACTCGTTTTTTTTCTTTGGAGAAAAGTGAATCTCGTTAACTTCTTTACATATAAATCAAGTAGAGTTGTTATATAATATCGATCGAAAACAATATTGATAACATACATATACATATACATATATATATATACATAAATATAAATACATATATCTATATAAATATATATGTGTGTATGTGTGTTTACGGTTGGTTGGTTGGTTGGAATTTCTACCTGTTATGTATGTATAACATACATCCAAACTTTATCATGAGAGACCATCTATACCATGCATATATATAAACTATTGTTGTCACGTAAGAAACAACATGACATTAGTCATCTTGAGCTATATATTCATACACATGCATAAAATGATGATTGTACGTACCGAATTAATTTCTGTTTGGAAAAAATCACCCTTATATCCACGCAACAGAAAATAAATTGAAACAAAATAACAGAAAAATATAGAGGACAAAGATTATAGTGGTTCGGAAAAATTTTCTACGTCCACGAAAGAGGGAGAAAAATTCACTAACAGGTTTATAATTACACACTTAAACAACTTTCTCACTTTCTCTCTCTACCCAAAACTCTTTACACCCTTGTTTATCTATCTCCTCACTTTTCTCTCTTTTTCTAAAATAACCCTCGTCTAAAAACTGAAAACATTAACTTACATAAAAACACAAAATAGTAACTTTTCAAAAACTAATTTGAGCCACCTACCTAACAATTTCTAAAGAAAAAAAATATATCTGAAAAACAATGAAATTGAATTTTATATTACATTATATTATACACATATATATATATATATGTAGATGAAGAATATGAGTCGTTATTGGATCTGGGGGATATAATTTGCTTCCTATTGTTTTGACAGAATATAAGGATATATACTATAATGTTCTCTTTTGATGCATGCAAAGACAGACCAGATGGACCGACGACTACATGAGCTTTAGGGAACATGTACGAGTTGGAAGACTATTTATTGGTCACGCTACACACAGATACTCATTAAAAGCTTTTTCTTTTTTTTATCTTTATACGTACCCTGCGCTTATGTCTTTCCATTTGATGATCGATCTAAATTATATGTATACTGAATTCAATTACACTAATTTATAAGCAATATTGTCACTACTTGCATTATAATCACCACTCAAATAGCATTTCGAATTAATATAATCCAAAAAAATAAAATATAGAGAAAATTATTGAACTTATTTTTAGAGTATATGAGTCTGGATTTTTACTCTTTATTCTTGATTAATACTCTTTTGACTAATATAGTTATTTGACTAAAACAAATATTAATTAAGAATAAAGAAAAAATTCAAACTCATTCACTTTAAAAAATATTTAAGATATTTATCTCTATATTAAAAATTGCCGTAAGACAAAGTGAGGCCTATTTAGTGTCACATAATTCATCATGTGGCAGCTTTGATGACCAGAAGAAAAACTAGCTACATTCTTTTACAACATTTGGTTTTGAATGTTGTAAATTAAAAAAAAAAAAAAAAAAAACCTATACTGCAACGTATATAACAAGCGTGTCGTAGGAATTATTTAAAGTAATAATTTATGACACTTGTAGCTAGGATCGTCATGAAAAAGAAAATGTGTTTTTATCTCACAATATTAGTTAACGATAATTTTTAAAAATGTCAATAAAAAGGATAACATTAAATTTTTGCCATCAATTTTAAATTTATCATTTATGTATTAGTAGGATATCTTTCATATTCTACCATAATATATATATATATATTGGTAGGGTATTTTTCATATTGTGTCAAAATACGTTCCATATTTTATCAGAATATTTTTTTAATTAAAAATAATAGTTATTCTTATAAATTTCTCTAGTTAATTTGTATATGTAGTTAAATAGTTTTTATTTCCCGATGTTATTTTGTATATGTCGTCAATCAAAAGGATTTATGTTGCTCAACTTGACCGGCTAAAGAAGTGGGGCATATGCTCTCTATTTATGCTCATTCTATGAGAATATATTTGGTTGTATACATTTGACCTATTAATTCTTGAGTATATTGCCCCTGAAACAGCATGAAGACCACATATGCCTGTTTGCCTTTTCAGATACGGGTTTCATTCCGCCACTACGTAATTTTGAAATCGTGAAATTAGTGAATGAAAAATATTTAAAACTCCAGTAGTGTTTAACACCACAAATAATAAAAAAAAAAAAATGACGATTTTTGTTTGTGGAGCCATATTACAAGATCTAATATTCATTACTGTGTCGTGTTGCCAAAGAAAAATATTTAAAACTCCGGTAGTGTTTAACACCACAAATAATAATAATAAAATGACGATTTTTATCTGTGGGGCCATATTATAAGATCTAATATTTATTACTGTGTCGTGTTGGATACTATTGGGGTGCTCTAGTGTTGTTTTGAGAAAAATGATTAAGCAGCCTCAGCACATATATAATGTGGTTAATTACAGTTTATTACTCCTCTTTCAACTACTACCACTTAATTTGTATGGCATGTTATTCGAGGACCATCTCATGAGTCTAATTTATAAATAACATTAATGGCTCAAAGTGAGTCTTAATTGTCAAAAAGAAAAAGAAAAAGAAAAAGAGATAGTGGTGTAAGTAGAGTAATTATGTTGAAATAATAAATATTTGCCGGAAAACATTGTTTATTCTCAGATAATAGTGAGGATCAAATCGCACGATGTATATATATATATATATATATATGTATATGTATATATATGGGGAGAGAATATCGGTAATTATCAGGAGAGCACGTTAATACAATTAGTCAAAAAAGAACACTAAGGGCGAGGCGACCATGTATATTAAATATTTATAGTCGGTCTAGCTACTTAAAAGAAGGAAAATGTAGCTTTTGGTCCACAATGGGATATAAAGTGTTACCACTATAGATTTCTTGGATTTAATGAACTAATTATAGTGCTGAAATATATATATATATATATATATATATAGAGAGAGAGAGAGAGACAAACACACCTTGCTTTTTTTTCTATTAATTAATTAACTTCGTAGAGTAATCTTCCTGATGGAAAGGTGAATGAAAAAAATAAAATAAAATAAAACAAATATTTCAGGCCTTACATGGTTGTTCCATTTAAAAATTGATCAAATATACGAAGAGAAACCATAATACACAAACAAAAAATTTCATAACACTATAGATGGATATTTTAAGTTATACACTTGCATGAGCTGCAACTATATAATGTACATCTGAAAATTCCCAGTAGCTATCCATTTCCATGTCATATTATAATTAGTTATTTACAAAGAGATTTTTGGGACCTATTTCTTTTTTGTTTCTTATAAGTATATATATGTGATTTTTTTTTGTATACATGTGTGTTTTTTTTTTTTTTTTTTTTTTTTTTTTTTTTTTTTGGTGTTGAATTGATTTTGTATATACATATTTGAATTTGGACACACGTGCTTAAGAATACCAATAACTATAAATGATTCTGAGCCAAAAAAAAAAAAAAAAAAAAAAAAAAAAAAACAAAAAAAAAAAAAAAAAACAAAAAAAAAAAAAAAAAAAAAAAACTCATAAATGATAAGAGAATGCACTAAAAAGTCACTTCTATATAAACTTCTTAAAGAAAGATAATATATACATGTCATTGAGTAGTCATAAATAGTGTGTTCTCGTTTTCCTAGGTAAGCCCAAATACCCTCCTCTAAAACACTTCTTACAAAATCCTTAAACAAAAACCTAAGATAAAACAAAAAAGAAAAAAGAAACAAAAACAAAAAATACACCTAAAATTAAATAACAACCAAAAGTTAACTGTGACGCAATAATCCCCTCCGGCCGTTACAACTCTTGAACTTTGAAAACAATTTTCCTGTCAACAGATTCCAAAATGTTAACGTCAATATTGGAATCTGAATCTTCATCATCATGATGATCATGATCATCACGAACTGCAATATTCAAATCCAGTGAAACTCCCGGGCTTTTATCCTCCTTAGGCCGTTGATTACGACCATCACCGTCATCATTTTTCTTTCTGATCGTTGCATGATCAGATTTTTGGCTTGACATTGTTATTCTTGTGGCCGGAGAACAAGCCCTCGAAACCGAACCGAAGCTTTCGCAGCTGAAAACGACAATGGCATCCTTAATCGGAGCCGTTTCACCACCAGGAAGTGTTACTCTTCCACTTTCAATCGCTTTCTTGACACCCTTTTGAGAATGGCGATCAACTTCCTCAAAATCTTCCATGAAGAACACTCTTCGAGGATTCTCGTTCACCGCTTCGCCGAGTCTCTGGACATAGCTGCAACCCTTTTCATCTCTCGCCCTCTTGTTCTTGCAGGATTCTTCGGCGGAATCAGCTGATCTGGTGCTCGATGAGAAGCTGCTAAGACCGATCGATACGAAGTTGTTTTGCGAGCCAAAGATTAGTTTAGCCAATGTTCTTGCAATCTTCTCCTTCCCATTTGAATCGCCACCAAGAAAGAAAAGCCAACAGCTTTCTTGTTTAGTACTCTTGGAATAATAATTGCCTTTCCTTTGGCTCATTCCTGACCTGCATTGAAGCACGGTCGTCGCGATTTCGGGGATGATTTCCCTCTGCCATGGCACATTCTTCTCCATCTCATCACAGAGAATTCTCAAGTTCTCAGAATTAAGCTCCTTGAAACTCTCGAGGTCTTCGGGATCTTCTTCCACGACCTCACTTGAAGAGGCTGAATTAGGACTGGAGTTGGGATTCGATAGAAGTTCCGGCTTGGCAGGCTCGTCAATGGCATTATCTCTTTCTGGAATATTGAACATTTTGACATTGCTTTCATAGCCATCCTCACTGTTTTCTAGGACCCAGAATTGGTACTCTTTTGGTGACTGTTTGTTAAAGTCCAAACTATGGTGAGATTGATCGTACAAATTGCCCAGAGAAGAGAATGAGTTTGAGGAAGGAGATAATGAAGAGAGATGGAAGGGCTTATCAGAAAAGTGGGGATTTTTCTGTCCTGAACTGCAAAATGAGTTCCATTTCTTGCATATATCCCCAACTGTGATACAATATTCCTGATCATCATAGAGAGAGGACAGAGAGAATATCAGAAATGATGATGTTTTTCATCATGTGTGTAGGAGACAAGATATATGATTATTCCAAAACTGATAAAGTTGAGTCATGAAAAAATGTATATATACAAACCTGATGATTATTATTGCTTGCGTTTGATCTTTTGTTCTCTTCCCTGTACTTTTGGAGCCATGATGGCAAGTTTGAGATTGTAGTACTGGAATTGGTATTGTTACATGAACAGTTGGCAAAGCAACTTGGTTGCTTCTCATCTGCAATGTCTTTGGATGCCTTGGAACTGACATCAGCTTCCAGATCACTAGCAAGAATTTAAAAAAAAAAAAAAATTAGCAAAACAAGAAAAGGACAAGAGGGAACAACTTGATGAAAAAGTAAACAGTTAAAGCTGAATTGTTTGCTTGTCCAATCTCAAAAATTCCTCAATAATTGCGAACATAAAGCTTAACTTTCAAAATCACTAATCATATCATAAAAAAGAAACAAAATAATAATAATAAATAAATAAAATACCTCTCTAATTTGAGGCTTAGGCTCAAGCTTCCAACTGGGATAGTAAGAGGGTGAAGTTCCCATAATGCCTCCAGGGAAGGATTTCCTGCTTTACATTTCATGTAAGTTTGAAAGGTTGAGATTCCCATTAGCCAAACTCTACCACTAGTTTCCCCAACTGATCCAGAGACCAATCTTTTTAGCTCCATGATTATTTGCTCCACACCAAAGTAGGAGCTTCTCCTTTGTTGGGGACAAGTGTTTGACCAAAACTCAGAAACCCAAGTGAGATCCCCTAAATACAACACAATCCCTCTACCAATATAGCCCTTAACAAGGCATCTAAGGTCCATCAGTTTTTGCTCAACCTCTTCCTTTGAAATATTCCTCAAAGAGAAGAGTGGAAGATTGATAAACTGCAAGTACCTAAAATTCCCACAGGCATTATTGCTTCCTCTCTCACATGTCTCCATCACTCCCCTGGCTACACCCTCAGCTGTGGCCAAACACTCCCCAACAATGACAGTGCTCTTTCTCTTGTTAACCATGACACTCAACACATTATTGACATCCTCATGCCTAATTTGCTCAAAGGGTAGTTTGCTAACTGGGACCGAAAACTGGGCGGAATTAGGCATGGTGGGTTGGGACACATGGGAAACAAGGTCAAGAGGTTTAACACTCTCCTTGGACTGATTATTAGGAGTGGTACTAGCTTGGGAACAAATCTCCAAAGAAACAGCCTGTTCTACCCTGCTCTTAACAAGGGTGCTAGAGAAACCGGCCTCTCTCATGACTCTACTAACACTAGGATCATCCAATATGGATATGATCAGCTGTTCAAGCTCTATTTTGAGGGCTAAGATAGGCTGCTGCTGGTTCTCAATCGAACCGCGGCGTTGGTGAGCCTGAGCTCTCTTGAAGGCCGCGACCAAGGCGTTTGAGAACGTGGGGTTGGGGTAATGAGGGGCTAAGAGTGGGCTAGGACTCGAAGCAGGAAGGCGGTTTAGTGAGACATTAAAGCAAAGCTCCAATGCCTTGCATTGGAGAGGATGGGAATGGCATTGCAAACAGGCCCTCCTGAGAAGTCCTGAGGAAGTAGCTAGCATGGCACTAGCCACATGAAGAGGAGTGACTTGGGCATGGCCCCGCCGCTTCGCCAGGCTCACCGCTTGTTTCACTAAGCTTGTAGCCT